TGTAATGTATTGTTGACTATGTACCAACAGTTATTTGTGAATTAGTTAAATGAGTAACTTAGTTCAAATACATATTGGATATGAATGTTAGTACATACTGTAATGTATTGTTGACTATGTACCAACAGTTATTTGTGAATTAGTTAAATGAGTAACTTAGTTCAAATACATATTGGATATGAATGTTAGTACATACTGTAATGTATTGTTGACTATGTACCAACAGTTACATGTGAATTAGTTAAATGAGTTTAAGAAGTTAATTCAAATACATAGTGAATATGAGTGTTAGTACATAGTGTAATGTATTGCTTACTATGTACTTACATTCATATAAGTATGTTCTTTATGCGTGTTCACTGTACAACGTTGTTTGGTACCATTCAGTGCGCCATAGAGGTTAATAGAAGCTATAAGAAGTGAATATTATATGTTGAATGAAGTGACATTTATTATATACAAATACGTTCATTATTGTTTACATAACATGTAGTTAACATTATTAAATGTATTCTTATAATAATATATCATTACAAGTATATACGCGCAATTCAAATGTGTTGGTCGTAGCACAGCGGCTTTCTATATGTTATGTTTAACTCTAAGGCCCGGTTACGGGAAAATCATACACTGACTATGTATAAAGTGGTCGCTAGTGTAGCGCGAGCGGCGCAAAATCGAAGACGAGGCGGACTGTGGAGGAGCGGCCCCAACCACTGTGGCGCGGACAGCGCCGCCGCTGGTGAAAATCGAAGACGCGGAAGGCTCCGGTGGGGAGAGCGGGAGAAGACAAGAAGGGCTAATGTTAAGTCTATGGTGCATGAGGATGGTGAAATTAAACACGAACGGCGATGCAAGTAATACCGACGGAGAAGCGAGTAGTGGTGTGTGTTACATGGCGAGCTTTCATATTAGATGATATATGCTCGTAGTTGAAAATGCTTACAGCAGTGTGTACATTGAATATGCGAATATACTTAAATGACAAACAAGGCATAGTGGAAATGCTATGTGATAATTTGCAATAAGTAATTGTGAATATGCATAAGCCATATAAGTAAATGGCTAGCATTACAGTTGTATTGTTAATTTACTTTGTAAATTACAATAACATGTAAAACTGGTTGATCCTGCCAGTAGTCATATGCTTGTCTTAAAGATTAAGCCATGCATGTTTAAGTTCATACCTTTGAATGGTGAAACCGCGAATGGCTCATTAAATCAGTTATAATTTCATGGGATGTGTTTTGTTAATTGGATAACTGTGGTAATTCTAGAGCTAATACATGCTTATACGTTCAGTTTCGGCTGGATGTGCTTTTATTAGTGCAAACCATGTCTTCGGACTTTCGGTGGTGACTCTGAATAACTTTGCCGAGCATTTCAGCCTTGAGCTGGTGCTATTCCTTCAAAGTATCTGCTCTATCAACTGTCGATGGTATATTATATGTTTACCATGGTTGTAACGGGTAACGGGGAATTAGGGTTCGATTCCGGAGAGGGAGCCTGAGAAACGGCTACCACATCTAAGGAAGGCAGCAGGCGCGCAAATTACCCAATCCCGGCTCGGGGAGGTAGTGACAAAAAATAACAATGCGGGACTCATATGAGGCTTCGTAATTGGAATGAGTACATTCTAAATCCTTTAACGAGGAACTATTGGAAGGCAAGTCTGGTGCCAGCAGCCGCGGTAATTCCAGCTCCAATAGCGTATATTAAAATTGTTGCGTCTAAAAAGCTCGTAGTTTGAAAACTTGCCTTGGCTTACAATAGGCCCTTAGGGGTCACCGTTTGTTAAGCGCAAATATGGATGACTGTTTTTGCTGACTTCATTGTTTGGCTTATAAGAGTTATCAAATATCACTTTGATTAAATTAGAGTGCTTAAAGCAAGTGTTTTACTTGAATATAAATGCATGGAATGATGGAATATGTTGTTGTTCTATTTGTTGGTTTTTGAACGATGAAATGATTGAAAGGAACTGTTGGGGGCATTCGTATTGTTGTGAGAGAGGTGAAATTCTTAGACCACAGCAAGACGAACTACTGCGAAAGCATTTGCCAAGAATGTTTTCATTGATCAAGAACGAAAGTTAGAGGTTCGAAGGCGATCAGATACCGCTCTAGTTCTAACCATAAACTATGCCAACTAGCAATTTGCTTATGTATGTTTCATGACTAGGTGAGAGGCCACGGGAAACCTAAGTAGGGTTATGGGGGAAGTATGGTTGCAAAGCTGAAACTTAAAGGAATTGACGGAAGGGCACCACCAGGAGTGGAGCCTGCGGCTTAATTTGACTCAACACGGGAAAACTTACCTGGTCCTGACACTAGAAGGATTGACAGATTGATAGCTCTTTCTTGATTTGGTGGATGGTGGTGCATGGCCGTTCTTAGTTGGTGGAGTGATTTGTCTGGTTAATTCCGATAACGAACGAGACTCTAGCCTATTAAATAACACACAGAATCATGTCTTCTGCGGTGTTTCTTAATGGGATCAAGTGTGTTTAACACTTTGAAACAGAGCAATAACAGGTCTGTGATGCCCTTAGATGTTCGGGGCCGCACGCGCGCTACATTGAAAGACAAAATGAGCGTTTCTGGTTTTTAACAAAACTAGTAATCTTTGAATGTTTTTCTTAATGGGGATAGGGGATTGCAATTGTGCCCCTTGAACGAGGAATTCCCAGTAAGTGCTAGTCATTAGCTAGTACTGATTACGTCCCTGCCCTTTGTACACACCGCCCGTCGCTACTACCGATTGAATGATTTAGTGAGGTCTTCGGACCGGTACGCGGCGGAGTTTCGACGTCGCCGATGTTGCTGGGAAGATGACCGAACTTGATCATTTAGAGGAAGTAAAAGTCGTAACAAGGTTTCCGTAGGTGAACCTGCGGAAGGATCATTAATGTGTCCAACAAACCATTCATCTTTAAGTAGTTGAATGGTTCGTGTAACATGACCTTTTTTGGGGATTTTCCTGAAAAAGGCGTGAAATCAATATGACCCTTTATTCTACTTATACGTATAGCGTACTAACTTGGTTTACCCATACCGAGTGAGTCGCTTACTGTTGCCGCTCAATGCCTGTACTAAATGCGAAAGTGTTGGTTTGGCGTTGAGTTGGTTTAACAAATCTTTTCCCAATCATGTGTTATCAAGTATTGAACATTTACAAAACTTAATATGGGGGATCACTTAGTCCTTAAAGCGATGAAAAACATAGTAATTTGTGGAAAATGATGTGAGTTGTGAAATTTTGTGAGCATTGTGTTTTTGAATGAAAATTTTAGCACGGATGCATTTGTATCTAGGCTACATTTGTTTCAGTATATAATCAAAATAATAAGTATTTACTTTTGCTTTGACTTTGCCAAAGCAATGGTATAAAAATTGTATGATCATATGAATGATGATAAAAACAATTTATTGACGTGTATCTGAAATCAAGTGTGACAACCCGCTGAACTTAAGCATATCAATAAGCGGAGGAAAAGAAATCAAATGAGATTTCCTTAGTAGCTGCGAGTGAACTGGAATTAAGCCTATTGCCAATTCTTATGTTTTAAACAATAAGAGATGAGGTGTAAAGGTTTCTTGGTTTGACAAGCGTTCGGCTAAATTATTATTGAGTGAGTACTCATAGAAGGTGGAAAGCCTGTATAACTGAACCGCTTTGTTTAAACCGGGATACTGAAGAGTCTAGTTGTTTGGGAGTACAACTTAAAGTTGGTGGTAAATTTCATCAAAGGCTAAATATACGAAGGGACTAATAGCGAACAAGTACCATGAGGGAAAGTTGAAAAGAACTCTGACGAGAGAGTTAAAAAGTACGTGAAACCATATTGAGTAAAACAGATAACTGTGTTGTTATGCGGCGTGCCTATCAACAGCAAATTCGGTGTTGTGATGCTATTCGTATAGGCTGATTATGCAGCCGATTACGGGTGGTTAGCATAGCTGGATGTTCTGTGTATTAGTGCGCGTCCTATCATTGAGAAACTATGCCATCATAACTTCGGTGCACACCAGTTCGCACTATGTGCGTAGCTGTGTACTGGGTTTACTTGAAGGTGTCGTTTTGCTGTAGTGCAGCTGCGGTTACGTTTACTGAATATAGTTGCTTTGTCTGCGATTTGGTTTATTCCGATTCGCGGTGAGTATGCTGTAGTAGGTAAGTGGCCGTCATCAATGATAAACATTAGTTATTTGACCCGTCTTGAAACACGGACCAAGGAGTTCAAATGGCACGCGAGTCGTTGGGTGTTAAACCCGAAGGCGAAGTGAAATGCAAACGTATTGTTATTTGTGGTTGTTCCATGATTAAGCGATAAGCTACCTGTGCTTTCTGGCACTTGTAGACTAAAAGCGTGATGTTTGAGACCCGAAAGATGGTGACCTATGCCTAGTCAAGATGAAGCCAGAGGAAACTCTGGTGGATGTCTGAAGTTATTCTGACGTGCAAATCGATAATCTGATCTGGGTATAGGGGCGAAAGACTAATCGAACCATCTAGTAGCTGGTTCCTTCCGAAGTTTCCCTCAGGATAGCAAGCATACAATTTTAGTTTCATCCCGTAAAGCGAATGATTAGAGGTCTTGGGGCATATATAGCCTCAACCTATTCTCAAACTTTTAATGGGTGTGAGCGATCTTTCTTAATTGAAGAACGCTGCTAAATAAGTGTGCTTAGTGGGCCATTTTTGGTAAGCAGAACTGGCGCTGTGGGTTGAACCAATTGTTGAGTTAAAGTGCCTAAAGCTGGAATGCGCATGAGATCTATAAAGGGTGTTAGTTGCTGAAGACAGCAGGACGGTGGCCATGGAAGTCGGAATCCGCTAAGGAGTGTGTAACAACTCACCTGCCAAAGCAACTAGCCCCAAAAATGGATGGCGCTATAGCATTGTACTTATACTCAACCTCTGAAGCGTGACGAACCGGAACGCTCAGAGAGTAGGAAGGTAATGTGATAGCGTAGAAGGAGTTTGCTGTAAAGTAATCTGGAGCTGTCACATGTTCAGATCTTGGTGGTAGTAGCAAGTACTCAATTGAAAACCTTGAGCACTGAAGTTGGGGATGGGTTCCATGTGAACAGTAGTTGATCGTGGGTCAGTCGGTCCTAAGCTTATGATGAAACATGTGTTGAATGTGTATAATAATGTGTTATCACAATAAGCAAAAGGGAATCAGGCTAACATTCCTGAACCTGCACACCGGGAGTGCCGTCTTTGGCGGCGACCGTGGCAACACAAATGCGCTCAAAGACACCAAGAGATAGGCTAGGAAGAGTTATCTTTTCTTTTTAAGTTACTTGTACCCATGGAATGAAGTAGATTTGAGATATGGGTAAGGGTAACATAAAGCTGCTCATATTAGAGTAGTTTAGTTGACTCTCTTGGTCCTTGAAAATTTGAGCGTGGTTCTAATCTTGGTGGCAGTCCGTACTAGTATCCGCAGCAGGTCTCCAAGGTGTATAGCCTTTAGTGTCTAGAATAATGTAGGTAAGGGAAGTCGGCAAAATAGTTCTGTAACTTTGGNTTCGAAGGCGATCAGATACCGCTCTAGTTCTAACCATAAACTATGCCAACTAGCAATTTGCTTATGTATGTTTCATGACTAGGTGAGAGGCCACGGGAAACCTAAGTAGGGTTATGGGGGAAGTATGGTTGCAAAGCTGAAACTTAAAGGAATTGACGGAAGGGCACCACCAGGAGTGGAGCCTGCGGCTTAATTTGACTCAACACGGGAAAACTTACCTGGTCCTGACACTAGAAGGATTGACAGATTGATAGCTCTTTCTTGATTTGGTGGATGGTGGTGCATGGCCGTTCTTAGTTGGTGGAGTGATTTGTCTGGTTAATTCCGATAACGAACGAGACTCTAGCCTATTAAATAACACACAGAATCATGTCTTCTGCGGTGTTTCTTAATGGGATCAAGTGTGTTTAACACTTTGAAACAGAGCAATAACAGGTCTGTGATGCCCTTAGATGTTCGGGGCCGCACGCGCGCTACATTGAAAGACAAAATGAGCGTTTCTGGTTTTTAACAAAACTAGTAATCTTTGAATGTTTTTCTTAATGGGGATAGGGGATTGCAATTGTGCCCCTTGAACGAGGAATTCCCAGTAAGTGCTAGTCATTAGCTAGTACTGATTACGTCCCTGCCCTTTGTACACACCGCCCGTCGCTACTACCGATTGAATGGTTTAGTGAGATCATCTGAGTAGATGTGCATGTACTTTGTACGTGTAGTGTTTGCAATGAAGATCAAACTTGATTATTTAGAGGAAGTAAAAGTCGTAACAAGGTTTCCGTAGGTGAACCTGCGGAAGGATCATTAATGTGTCCAACAAACCATTCATCTTTAAGTAGTTGAATGGTTCGTGTAACATGACCTTTTTTGGGGATTTTCCTGAAAAAGGCGTGAAATCAATATGACCCTTTATTCTACTTATACGTATAGCGTACTAACTTGGTTTACCCATACCGAGTGAGTCGCTTACTGTTGCCGCTCAATGCCTGTACTAAATGCGAAAGTGTTGGTTTGGCGTTGAGTTGGTTTAACAAATCTTTTCCCAATCATGTGTTATCAAGTATTGAACATTTACAAAACTTAATATGGGGGATCACTTAGTCCTTAAAGCGATGAAAAACATAGTAATTTGTGGAAAATGATGTGAGTTGTGAAATTTTGTGAGCATTGTGTTTTTGAATGAAAATTTTAGCACGGATGCATTTGTATCTAGGCTACATTTGTTTCAGTATATAATCAAAATAATAAGTATTTACTTTTGCTTTGACTTTGCCAAAGCAATGGTATAAAAATTGTATGATCATATGAATGATGATAAAAACAATTTATTGACGTGTATCTGAAATCAAGTGTGACAACCCGCTGAACTTAAGCATATCAATAAGCGGAGGAAAAGAAATCAAATGAGATTTCCTTAGTAGCTGCGAGTGAACTGGAATTAAGCCTATTGCCAATTCTTATGTTTTAAACAATAAGAGATGAGGTGTAAAGGTTTCTTGGTTTGACAAGCGTTCGGCTAAATTATTATTGAGTGAGTACTCATAGAAGGTGGAAAGCCTGTATAACTGAACCGCTTTGTTTAAACCGGGATACTGAAGAGTCTAGTTGTTTGGGAGTACAACTTAAAGTTGGTGGTAAATTTCATCAAAGGCTAAATATACGAAGGGACTAATAGCGAACAAGTACCATGAGGGAAAGTTGAAAAGAACTCTGACGAGAGAGTTAAAAAGTACGTGAAACCATATTGAGTAAAACAGATAACTGTGTTGTTATGCGGCGTGCCTATCAACAGCAAATTCGGTGTTGTGATGCTATTCGTATAGGCTGATTATGCAGCCGATTACGGGTGGTTAGCATAGCTGGATGTTCTGTGTATTAGTGCGCGTCCTATCATTGAGAAACTATGCCATCATAACTTCGGTGCACACCAGTTCGCACTATGTGCGTAGCTGTGTACTGGGTTTACTTGAAGGTGTCGTTTTGCTGTAGTGCAGCTGCGGTTACGTTTACTGAATATAGTTGCTTTGTCTGCGATTTGGTTTATTCCGATTCGCGGTGAGTATGCTGTAGTAGGTAAGTGGCCGTCATCAATGATAAACATTAGTTATTTGACCCGTCTTGAAACACGGACCAAGGAGTTCAAATGGCACGCGAGTCGTTGGGTGTTAAACCCGAAGGCGAAGTGAAATGCAAACGTATTGTTATTTGTGGTTGTTCCATGATTAAGCGATAAGCTACCTGTGCTTTCTGGCACTTGTAGACTAAAAGCGTGATGTTTGAGACCCGAAAGATGGTGACCTATGCCTAGTCAAGATGAAGCCAGAGGAAACTCTGGTGGATGTCTGAAGTTATTCTGACGTGCAAATCGATAATC